CCCGAGCCGAGAGCACCCAGAGGTGCCGAGAGCCCTCGCTCTCCAAGCCCATCCTTTTGCCTGCCAGAGCTTTGTAGGAGCGTCCAATTTTTGCAAGAAAACACGCCTTTCCCTCCCCCTTTCTTGCCGCTCTCTGAGCTCTCCCTAAATCAAGGCCCCTGTCAGCACTCCCCCAGCCCCAAATCCTGGGGTCTCGCACCACGGCCCCGTCCCAGCGGGGGCTGTGCTCAGGCCGGGGCAGCCGGCACAAACCGCGGAGGGGGCTGACATGAACTCGCCGTCCTCCTCCTCCTCCTCCAGCCCCGCTGAGACCTCGGGGTTACCTGAGGACAAGGCGGCCTCGCGGCGCTTGTCCGTGCAACGTGCCTGGCCGCGGTGCACGTCCAAGGGTCAAGAGCGAGGGGGACAGGTTTTGTCGTGGCCAAACGTGAGCCGCCAGATGTGGGATTTGGTGGGGAGCCAGGCGGTTTGGCCAAGCTTGGCGGGACCGGCGGAATGCCTTCACCGCTCCTCTCACAGCATCACCGGGAAGAGAGGTCTGGTGTTCGGCCTCCCTCCACAGTGACCGAACGCTCTTGCTTCTTCCCACCATGACTCGAGTGCTACTCAGACCTTCTATCAGGTAGAGCACGTATCCTACCAAAAAAGCCTCACTAAAACTGATCCTGACTGCTCGTTTTGCGATAGCAGCCCTGGGGACTGCCTGCACCACGGACGAGAAGCTCTTTCAGGCTGCAGAGACTTGACTCAGGCAAGGTGACAACTGAAATTCTGAGTCTAAATCTCCTCTCCTGAATCCTAAAGGTGCTTTGGAAAAAAACCCACAAATCACAAAAACTTCTCCTACGTTTCTCATTCACACCCAAAACCTCTTCAGTGCCTGGAGAAGCTGCCTACACCAGGCAGACCCAGTTCCCCTCCACACCAAGGCTTCTCTGCAGTTCCTGGCTGAACTTCAGAAACATCCAAATGCCTCCAGAAGCTATTGATTTGAGAAGTTTCTGGAAGCGGGGAACCTAAGCAATGGTCTCAGAGCTGCAAGGTAAATAGGGTTTGAATCTTCAGCAGGCAAGCAAACCACAGGGAAGTCGAAAGGATGGAAGGAAAGTGTGTGCCTCCTGGGATAGGAGGAGGTGCTGGGAGACCAGACAGGAGGTCCATGTGCTTTGGGGGCTTCTCTTTGTCTTTACCCACTCCTCAGAAGTGCCTGTGAGAGGTTGGAGGTGTGTATTGGTTGTGAGGTAGAAGGACGAGCAAGGTGAGATGGATTCCTTACTCCAGGAAGCTGGTGATGTAATCCCTGCTGCACGTGGACCATACGAACGGGTTGGTCTTCATGGTGATATGAGCAGCCATGAGCTTGGCCGTTTCTTGCCCACGGGAGCCACAGCTGTTGCCGACCCCATCGTGATTCATGCCAAACCTAGAAAGCATCACCAAGGCAACAGAGTGATGATCGGCTGCTGCATTTTCAACATGTCTGGATCATCCACAGGAAGGAGTTTTCAACTCCTGCCGGCAGGAACAACCCAATGGTGGCCTTTCCCCGTGACGGCCACTCCCAGGGACTCTTCTGGGCTCGTACTCACGTGTGGCCGATCTCATGGGCGATGGTGAAGGCTGTGGCCAGGCCAATGTCCTCGTTGATGCTGCAGCTTCGTTCTCGTTCGCACATCCCGCCAACGGGAGCCAGGCCTAGGGAAGCCAGAGCGAGCTGTCACAGAGGGTCACCACAAAGCGTCTGCAGCGGACACGGGTGGCATTTGGAGACTATCTGAGGTGTTTCAGGCTCCCTAACACTGAGCATAGCCCGCTGTCAGTAACAAGTTTCTTCCCACTGGTGGCAGCAGCCTTTGGGACGGGCCTCCAGCTCATACGGGTTGTGGGTACATGGTCCCTGCCAACTAAATTAACAATGACAGGCTCAGAAATGCTAAGAATGGGTCAAAATCCTCAGAATTCGACATGCAGACCCCAGACTGTGTGCAGGGGGTAGTAGTGTTGGTCCCAACGCTGGTGCTGCTGGTTGGGGAACCCAAGATCAGCTGCATCAGCACTTGGGCATCGGAACCTGGCCAGGACAGCCTGGACAACCGAGTAAGCCAGGATCCAGCCTGTGCTTAGTTCTGGCTGACACCCACCACGAGCAGGAGTTCAGCCCGACTCCATGTCCCAGCACCCCGGGCTGTGCCCGCTGCACCAGGCCAGTGAAGAAGAGTCTCTGTTAAAGGAACGAATTGCGCCATCGTGGCACCTCCAGCCTCAATCTCCCTCGCAGGCACCTCGCCATCAGTCGCATCAGGTCAGAGATCCACCAACTTCTGCTTTTTAACTGCAGTGATTCAGAGCAGTAATCCCTCTCTGACTGCTTAGTCTAGACCAGGGCAAGACAAATTAGGAGCTACAGCCAGAGAGAGCTGCAGGGTCTGTCTGCGTCTAGCAGTTTAAATAAAGAACTCCCTTTATAGTCATCACAAAAAAGTCTTATTTCTCTCTGCTAAGCCAGGAATACTCCACTAGGCTATGGACCAACCCTAGATGTGAGCAGTTCTTAATCATCAGGCTGGACCTGACCCAGGGATATAATGGAGAAGCGTTCCAGAGTCCATCCATCCTCTGGGTTGCTGCTTTTAGTGTTTACAGAAGTAAGGAGGCTATGCAGTCGAGAGGGTTGGAAACCACTGGCCTGTTCCTGGCTCCGCTGCCGGCACTCGCGGTAGCGTTGGGCAAGCGCTTCCCCTCAGGTCGCTCGCTAGGCAAGGGGGGATGCAAGAAAAAAAAGGGGCAGCAAAGTCCCACCTACCTAGGGTGCCGCACGGCTTGTTCTTGTAGATGCAAATGTCGTATCTGCAAAGAAGAGAAGGCAGCGTTTAAGAATTTTGGTGGCTCCAAACGAACCGCACCTCCATTTTACCGAGGAGTTCATACCCAAAACACTTCAAAAACAGCAACACTTCTGGAATGGAAAGTACCAACTGCAACAGGTGAGACACCTCTGATCTGTATCGAGCAACATTCACTTTCCTCAGGCTGAGACTCACCGTGGATTTTTAGTGATAGCTCCTGCGCCTTAACTATGGGGCAGCGCTGAGCCTGGTCAGAGGAAAGGTGGTAAATCAGCAGGGACAAGGCTATCCCAGCTTTGAAGCTCTTTGGGTTTGGGTGGGCGCTCCAGCTCTGCTCACCAGCACCCAGCGCACCCCTGGGAACTGGCTACTTCTCTCCCGGGAGGCACCGGGCTCAAGGATCTGCCCCAGAAGCACAGGACCAGCCTCCTGCCTGCAAACCGAGGTCCCTCACAGCAAATCGTGTCAATCAACCATGTCATTCTGAAATTTCTTTTAAAAAAATGAAACATTTCAGTTTGAAGACATGTTCCGTTTCAAAACCCACTGTAGTTTCATTAAAATGCTAAAGGGATTTTTTTATATTTTTTTTTTTTCAGTTTATTTCCTCACTGAGAATTTCCTGTACAAATTCAATACGGGTTGACTCAAGAGGACTCTTCCCTCAGTTCCTGGCCTCCACTTCCAGCCATTGCATCAAGGAATCAACTGTTTGCACATGGTTAGCCGTGAGCAAGGAAAAGCTAAACGAGGACAGCAAAGCAAAATCTCCTCCAAACTGAAATACAGCACCTCTGCAACGGGGTGCAGCAGCAGCTCCAAAAGAGACCAGTTTGGCCAGAAAGTGAGTATTATTAACTGGGGAGCACGGAGGATGCCGACTGCAACGTGAGCTTGAGGGTCGCCTGCACGGTCAGCAGGACCATCCCACGCCGCGCACCTCGGTGGTCCGACGGGGCTGAGAGCGGGGAGCAAGCAAACTGGCAGCACACAATGGGTTAAACGTAAC